ACTGAAAGATAATTTAACCAAGAAAGAAGAAAATAAGAAGCTATACTGTTTTTAAAAAGAAATTAAGCTGAATTTAGAGGTTGACACCTTCCAACTTTATAATACTACTCATGAGGAAGATTGCTGAAATGAGTGTAAAAACCGGTGTGCTCATCGAGGATATATTATGTTGGACTTTGCTTTGTTTACGTCAGAATTCTCTAATTACATTGCAAGATTAATAGCTTCACAAATTGATGCTCACAGAATTATTAAATGTGTCATTATCAATTTTATCACAGTGGTTTTTTGTTTGTTGGCATGTATCTGCACACTGTGACCCCTTCTCTGACTTTTTTAACATTTCAAAGGATCATAAGGCAGTGATGGAAACAGTGGGTTTTTGGGGGATGATGGAATCCATCCCCTGCCCCAATTTCCCTCCTTCCAGAGATGCAAAGAAAAAGCTTCCAGCTCCCCTTCAGATGCACCATCCAACCATAGTGTGTGTGGGGGTGACAACAGGAATTTCCATCCCAACGGGACAGGAAGAATATATTTTAAATGCATCCCTAAGTCAGGGGTTCCCAACCTTTTTGAGCCTGTACGCACCTTTGGAATTCTGACACAGGGTTGCGGGCACAACCACAGATTGAAACAATGTTATTTTATTAGTTGCTGTAGATATTCCGGGTTGTGCGGCCATGGCCTTGGCATGGTAGAACCTGACGTTTCGCCAGTAGCTGTGACTGGCATCCTCAGAGGTATAAACACAGAAAGATGGAGTACTCTCTGTGTCAAGGCGAGAAGAAAAATGGTAGGCAGGTAATTTATATCTACTCCAGAGGAGGTTATGGGGGGACAGGATTGCTCACTTTAACTATTTGAAGGGCTGTCACTCAGAGGAGGGTGGGGAGCTGTTCCTGTTGGCAGCAGAGGAGAAGACTCACCATAATGGGTTTAAATTAAGGGCAGGAAGGTACCGGCTGGATTTTAGGAATAACTTTTTTGACAGTAAGAGTTGCTCAACAGTGGAATCAGCTGCCTAGGGAGGTGGTGAGCTCCTCCCCCCCCACTGGCAGTCTTTAAGCAGCGGCTGGACAAATACTTGTCAGGGATGATCCTGTATGGCTCCTTCCAACTCTATGATTCTATAATATAAGACAATCTGATCAGA